TGCGTTTCTTGCTTTCTTTCTTTCATCTCGCTCTGTCACCCAGGCTAGAGTGCAGTGGCACAATCTCAGCTCACTGCAACCTCTACCTTCTGGGCTCTACCAATCCTCCTGCTTCGTGAGTATCTGAAAGTATATGCGCTCACCACATACCCGGCTAATTTTTAATAAAGATGGGGTTTCACCATGTTGTCCAGACTGCTCTCAAACTCCTGAGCCTAAGAAATCCACCTGCCTCAGCCTCCCAGTGTGCTGGGATTAAAGGTGTGAGCTACTGCGCCCAGCCTAGATCTTTCTTTTACATGAATTTATGTACCTATGTATCCTATATGTAGTATATATGTGAATGTAGGTATGTATACATATGTGTGTATGTGTGCTTTTCCCACATATGTAACATTCTACTCTAAATTTGTTATTTGGTGACATTTTAGCAGGCCTTGGAGATTTTACCATGCCTGTTGACATAGATCTTTCTCACTCTTTTTTTTTTGGTAATTTATATGGTTTGGCTGTGTCCCTACCCAAATCTCATCTTGAATCCCGACGTGTTGTGGGAGGGACCTGGTGGGAGGTGACTGAATCATGGGAGCAGGTCTTTCCTGTGCTGTTTTCATGATAATGGGTGGGTCTCACGAGATCTGACAGTTCTATAAGAGAGAGTTTCCCTGCACAAGCTCTCTCTGCCTGCTGCCATCCATGTAAGACATGACTTGCTCCTCCTTGCCTCCTGCCATGATTGTGAGGCCTCCCCAGCCACGTGGAACTGTAAGTCCATTAAATCCCTTTTCCTGTATAAATTACCCAGTCTTGGGTATGACTTTATCAGCAGTGTAAAAACAGACTGATACAGTAATTTGTCAGTTTCTTTTAAATAGAGTGAGTCTTGGAAATACCCTCATGGTGTGGGCTTCCATTGGGTGCACAGGGTAGGACTAAAGGAACAAGAGAGAGTCTAAGGAAGGAGAAACATAATCATGAGAGGTGATCGTAAAAAGATTACCCCTATATATATGTGTGTGTGTGTGTGTGTGTGTGTGTGTGTGTGTATATATATTTTTTTTTTTTTTTTTTCTTTTCTTTTTTGAGACTGAGTATCTCTCTGTCACCCAGGCTGGAGTGCAGTGGCTGATCTCGGCTCACTGCAACTTCCACCTTTCAACTTCAAGTGATTCTCCTGCCTCAGCCTCCAGAGTAGAGTAGCTGGGATCACAGGCACGAGCCACCTAAGTTGACTGTACCTTATCTTAACTAACTGTATCTGCAAAAGCCCTATTTCCAAATAAGGTCATGCTTCTTTTTTTTTTTTTTTTTTTTGAGACAGGGTCTTGCTCTATCACCCAGGCTGGAGTGCAGTGTGGTGCAATCATAGCTCACTGTCAACTAACTCCTGTGCTCAAGTAATCCTCCTACCTCAGCCTCTCAAGTAGCTGAGACTATAGGCAAACACCACCATGCCTAACTTTTTTTAGTAGAGATGGAGTCTCACTATATTGCCCAGGCTGGTTTCGAACTCTTAGGCTCAAGTCATCCTCCTGGCCTGGCCTCCCAAAATGCTGGGATTACAGGCATGAGCCACTGCACCTGGCCCTGGGTCACACTCTGAGGTTACAGGTGAACATGAATTGTCGTGGGAGTCCCTATTCAATCCACTGCTGGGGTCTACAGTTTCCACTTGACTGTGCCACTAATACTCAATTGTCATAAGGCATGTTATTCTGTTTAGAGCATGCAGAGCAAGTTTACTAGGTTTGAGGTTTGAGCAAGTTTCAAATTGAGAGACAACGCACTGTCACACGACTCCATACAAACTATTTCATTTTAGTGTAAAAATGTGTTTTCCTCTCATGGGAAGGATGCAGAATATGAGAATTTTAAAGAGAGGAGCAGAATTTAAAGAAATCCCCCCTGGTTGGCCAGGCACGGTGGCTCACGCCTGTAATCCCAGGACTTTGGGAGGTGGAGGCAGGCAGATTACCTAAGGTTGGGAGATCAAGGCCAGCCTGACCAATATGGAGAAACCCCGTCTCTACTAAAAATACAAAAATTAGCCCAGCACGGTGGCGCATGCCTGTAATCCCAGCTACTCAGGAGTCTGAGGCCGGAGAATTGCTTGAACCCAGGGGGCAGAGAAGATCAAGCCTGGGCAACAAGAGCAAAACTCTGTCTCAAAAAAAAAAAAAAAAAAAGAAATCCCCCTACATTTTTACATAGCTGAAGCTTTTAAATTATCATAGTTCCACAACTTTGTACTTAGGGCTTTTGCTTTAGCCATGATCCAGCAGGCACAACAGGGATGGGAATACAATTATTTAAGAAGGAGGTAACCAAGTGAATTCTGGTTAAACTGTCATTTTTCCAATCTCCCTCATTCTGCAGAGAGAAGAGAGAATTGTTTCCATTTCTCACACAATGCTCTTATCTCCTCCTTGGTGAGAGCCCTCAAGCCTCTTCTTTGGCACTGTAGGTGAGGGCGACTCACTACCTCCTGCAACAACCCCCTTTGTCCCAGAACAGTTTCATCTACAAAATTGTCATTTTTTTCTTTTTTGAATCAGGGTCTTGCTCTGTCACTCAGGCCAGAGTGCAGTGGCACCATTATGGCTCACTGCAGCCTCAAACTCCTGGGCTCAAGTGATCCTTCTACTACAGCCTTGCGGGTAGCTGGGACCACAGGGATGCGCCACTATGCCTGGTTTGCCTATTTATTTACTTATTTCTTTAGAGATAGGACCTAGTTATGTTGCCCAGCTTGGTCTCCAACTCCTGGCCTCAAGTGATCCTTCTGCCTCAACCTTCTGAGCCTCTGGAATTCACAGGTGTGAGCCATGGTGCCCAGCAAAACTTTCCTTAATAAGTAGGTTTTATAATCCCCATATTTCAGTCTAGCACATGGAACTTAGAGAGGTAACATAGCATTCAGACACACGGTGAAAAAGACTAGAAGGATATATATAAAAGATGTCATAAGCCAGGGTACGGTGACTCATTCCTGTAATCCCAGCACTTTGGGAGGCTGAGGCAGGAGGATCACAAGGTCAGGAGTTCGAGATCAGCCTGGCCAACATAGTGAAAACCCCATCTCTACTAAAACTACAAAAATTAGCCAGGCATGGTGGCACGTGCCTGTAGTCCCAGCTACTTGGGAGGCTGAGGCAGAATCGCTTGAACCTGGGAGAGGGAGGTTGTGGTGAGCAGAGATCTGCTGCTGCACTCCAGCCTGAGCAATAGAGTGAAACTTTGTCTCAAAAAAAAAAAAAGAAAAAAGAAAAAAAAAGGCTGGTGCGAGTGCAGTGGTGTTTACAACGAATTGATCACAACCAGTTACAGATTTCTTTGTTCCTTCTCCACTCCCACTGCTTCACTTGACTAGCCTTTTAAAAAAAAGAAATATAAAAGAAAGAAAGAAAGAAAAAAAGGCTGGGCACAGTGGTTCAAGCCTGTAATCCCAGCACTGTGGGAGGCCGAGGCCGGCGGATCACTTGAGGTCAAGAGTTTGAGAGCAGCCTGGCCAACATGAAGAAACCCCATCTCAACTAAAAATAGAAAATTAGCTGGGTATGATGGCATATGCCTGTAATCCCAAATACTCAGGAGGCTGAGGCAGGAGAATCGCTTGAACCCGGGAGGCAGAGGTTGCGGTGAGCCAAGATCACGCCATTGCACTCCAGCCTGGGCAACAAGAGGAAAACTCCATCTCAAAAAAAAAAAAAAAAAAAAAAAAAGATGTTATGTGATTTTCTCTTTTTTTCCTTTTTTTTTTTTTTTTTTAAATTGTACTTTGGGCCCTGGGGTACATGTGCACATCCTGTGTCCTGCAGGATTGTTCCATAAGTACATACATGCCCCCCCAACCCCCCACAGCCCATTGCCTACATCAGGCATTTCTTCTGGTGTTATCCCTCATCTGCCCCACCACCCCGTTGTCCTTCCCCTCCCCTCCCCTCTACCTCCCCACCTAGCCCATTGAGTGTTGTTCCCTTCCCTGTGCCCAAGTGTTCTCATTGTTCATCACCCACCTACAAATGAAAGCATGCAGTGTTTGATTTTCTGTTCTTGTGTCAGTTTGCTGGGAATGATGGTTTCCAGGTTCATCCATGTCTCTACAAAGGACACCAACTCATCGTTTTTTATGGCTGCATAGTATTCCATGGTGTATATGTGCCACATTTTCTTTGTCCAGTCTATCATTGATGGGCATTTGTGTTGATTCCAGATCTTTGCTATTGTAAACAGCGCGGCAACAAACACGTGTGCATGTGTCTTTATGATAGCACGATTTCTAATCCTTTGGGTATATGCCCAGTAATGGGATTGCTGAGTCAAATGGAATTTCTATTTCTAGATCCTTGAATTGCCACTGTCTTCCATAATGGTTGAAGTAATTTACACTCCCACCAACAGTGTAAAAGTGATTTTCTTTATTTTCCTAAAGCTTTTTTCTTTCTTCCTTTCTTTCTTTTCTTTCTTTCCTTCCTTCCTTCTTTTTTTTTTTTTTTTTTTTTTGAGATGGAGTCTTACTCTGTCACCCAGACTAGAAGACTGGAGTGAAATCTCTGCTGCCTGCCACCTTCACTGCCCTGGGTTCAAGCAATTCTTGTGCCTTGGCCTTTCAAGCAGCTGGGACTGCAAGGTTGTGCCATGCCTGGCTAATTTTTTAATATTTTTAGTAGAGGCGGGTTTCGCCATGTTGGTCGGGCTGGTCTTGAACTCCTTACCTCAGGTGATGTACCTTCCTCGGCCTCCCAAAGAGCTGGGATTATAGGCATAAGCCATCACACCTGGCCTCCTAAAATATTTTAAGTACAAATGAATTAATTTTTTAAAACCATGATTATGGGTCCTTCAGTTCAAGGTGACCGAGAAAGTGGGAATCAGGATGGCAACCCATTGCTGGACAACTTCCAGTGGATGTGGAATTTTCTGGACTCTCTTCCAGTGACCCCAAGCTTCCACCTTTGTTGTCCTTCCAGCTTCAGGACTCCTCTCACTCCAGGCTGGGCTTCCACCTCCAGCTGTGGGGCTCATCCCAGAGACTAGGACAGAGCAGAGGAGGGCTTCATAATGATGGGTCCCCAGGCCTGGGGCCTTGAGTGAGGCTGGGACCAAGGCAGCCTGTGGCACCGCCCCCCTCATCCAGTTCCTGGGCAGCCACCATTGCGCTTGTCCGTGTGTCCCGGTAGGAACACTTGGCAAGGAAGTGTTGGAAGGAGACTCACTACAAGGCAGGCTCACCGGCTGTGTGATATGGCCAGATGAAGGAAGGAAAGCGCGTCTGCCTGGAGTGTGGAATGAACCTACAGGGTGATCATTACCCTTATCAGTGCTGCCGTCACCGTTGCCGCATGTGAGACACCCCCTCCTCCCCAAGGCCAGTGATTGCGCCAGAGTTCCTGCGCGCTGGCAAGCAGGTGACGTCGCGGCGGACGGCCAGCCAGGGCGAGGGGTTGTGGGGGCGGGAGGCAAAGGGAGGAGAGGGCGTGTTCCCGTCGGTGAGGCGAGAACTCACCCGCGGTCCCCAGCCAGGAGGGCGGGGGCACCCTCCTCCCTCCCGCACTCCCTTGGGGCACACACCGGCGCTCTCCGCGTCCTCAGGTGCTCCGAGCTTCCCCGCGTCACCCGCAGCCAGGGCGCCCCCCGCGACGCCGCCATTCATTCCTCCTACACTGCGAGAGCAGCGCTGGCCTCCAGAGCCGGAGGAGCCGCTGGGCGCGGCGGGAGCTTCGAATCCACATTTCTGCCCCAGCCGCCGGGCTAGGGTTGGTGGGAGGCGGGGTGGGGGTGTCTGCCCTGGTGTGTGCCGCGTCGGCCCAGTTACTATAGATCCCTTCTAGGAGAGACTGAAACACCCAGGTTCAGGAGACAGAGACACTGTGGCACATGGATACAGGAGCCAGGAACGGAGACAGATACAGAAAGGCAAAGACACTTAAGGGACAGGCGTAGACAAAGGCCACAACACAGCGAAAGAGACACAGGGCACAGAGACAGAGAGTTACAGGCAGTTGGCGATAGACTGACACATGCGAAGGCGGAGACAGAGACACAGGCGGGAGACGCACAGACCCTGAGGATCTACTTAAGACCAGCAGAGCAACTAGCACGAGAGCGCGCCAACGGCGAGGGCACCATCCACTGGCCCCAGCTCTTCCCGCGCTGTGGGTTAGTGCCTTCCCCACTCACCCTGTACCCGAGTCTCCTCTCGCCGCGTTTCCCGGGTCCCCCCTTTCCATTGCACGCCCTGCGGCCGCCTTCGCGCCCCAACGCTCCCCGCCAGCTTTTGCCCCCCTGCTCCCAGTCCCCCTGGCACGCCTCTTCCAGCCCATGGGTCAGACCCTCCCCCAAGCTCCTCCAGTACCAGGCTCGACCCCACCCCCCTCCGGCACCGCCTCTTCCCGCGAGGTCCCGGCGGGGTTGGCTGGTACCATTCCCCAAGACCCACGTGCCGGCCATTCCCCGCCACAGTGCGGAAAACTCCCGCTACTGCTCCCGCGGCTCCTGGGGTAACCGGGTGCGCTCCTGCCCCCGGCCCCGCCTCTTTCCCCTGGCCAGTGCCCGCCCCGCCTCCACCGCGCCCCGCCCGCCGTGCTCTGCCGCAGTCGGGCGCTCATCGTCATTCCGCTCTCGCCGCCGCCGCCGCCGCCCCCGCCCCCCGCCCCCGCCCCCGCCCCCGCCCGGTCCCCGCCACCGCCGCCGCCGCCTGCCCAGCGGCCCGGGAGGCGGAGGCGCGGGGGAGGAGGCCCCGCTTGGCTCCTCAGCCCCGGATGCTGCATGACTTCATCCTTCCGCCGGCTCCCCTGCTGAGCTAGGGCCGGTCCGGCAGCCAGCCCGCCGCCCGCGCCCCGCCGCAGTCCCGCTCCCGCCCCGCGCCCACCCCGCGCCCGCCATGTCCGAGATCCTGCCCTACAGCGAAGACAAGATGGGCCGCTTCGGCGCAGACCCCGAGGGCTCCGACCTCTCCTTCAGCTGCCGCCTGCAGGACACCAACTCCTTCTTCGCGGGCAATCAGGCCAAGCGACCCCCCAAGCTGGGCCAGATCGGCCGAGCCAAGCGAGGTACGCGGCCCTGGCCTGGAGTCGCCGCCTGACCCAGAAACCCTCCGCCGGGCGCCCCCCGGCTGCCGTTCCCCCCCGAGTGCCCGCAGCTCTTGCCGCAGACCCGCGCACCAGCAGCTCTCCGGCCCGGGCTAGAGGGGGGCGTCCCCGCTGCTGCAGTGTGTCCCCCTCTTCCCTTCTCCCGGGAACACGGTGCCCCGGATTCGATGCTCGCCACCTCTAGAAGCAGAGCCCTGGCACCCGGGCGAGGGGGAGGGGCCGGTCGGGGCATTCGGGGCTGCTCGGAAGTGGAAACGCGGGGTAACGGGCTGATTCTTTGGGATCAGATAATGAGTCGGTGGACGCTACGGAGAACCTTCGGGTCGAGAGGGGCGTCTAACTGGAGAGGGCAGGAGGCCGGGGGCCAGCTTGCCTTGGTTGTTTGCATGGGGAGGGGGGCTCTGTTGGTGCCAGGGTCGGAGGAGGGATGCCAGCGGCGAGAGGGCTCGGGTTGAGGAGGGGCTGGACTAGCTGCATACTCGGTGTGAACCCCACTTGAGGAGGGGGTTCTGCTTAAGTGCGGCTTGAAGAGGGGGTTCCATGAGGTTTCTGATCAGCTCAGAGGGAGGAAGGCTCAGGCGGCAGGAGGGCTCGCACCGGGAGGGGGAATAGCTGGAGCCTTTGGATGAGGGGCGTTTCGCCATCGGGAGGGGAGGGGAAGGGGTCCGTGGGACAGAGGCTTGGCGGCGGGCTGGGTCTCCAGGAGAGTTCGGACGGGGAGGACACCGCGGCACAGGGTTCCGAGGGGCGTCGCTGGGCCACGGGCAGTAGCTGCGCGGGACGCTAGGACGCAGGGCTCATTCTCGCCGCCGCCCCCCGAGGCCGTGCGGCTGACGCGCTTTCTCCCTGCGCAGTGGTGATCGAGGATGACCGGATAGACGACGTGCTGAAGGGGATGGGGGAGAAGCCGCCGTCCGGAGTGTAGACGCGCCGGCTCGGGCGGCGGGCTCCGGGCCCAGCCTCGCAGCGGCCAGGAGCGCGGGCCGGCGATGCGGCTGCCGGCGCCCCCCGCTCCAGCCCAGGCGCCCGCGGGCGGGGGCTGCAGGGCCGCGCCGCCGCCGCCGCCTGGCACTCTGGAGCTGTCCGCTTCAGCACCACGGCGGCCGCTGTAGCGGCGGCGCGGACCCGCCCGGAACCCGCCGCCGCGCTCATGCACTTTAAAACCTCGGGCCGCAGCCCCATCCCGCACACCGGAACGGACACGGAGACCCGCGGCCCCCAGCTCCCGGCCCGCCCCCTCCCGCACGGCTCCCCTGCCCCACCCCCTCCGGCCAGTCTGGTCTGCAGACCGGGCGGCTGCCCGTGTCGGACCTCGCGCGGCCAGGGATGTTTGGCTGCGTACTTGCATGAGCTTTCCACCCACCTGAGCCCAGTCCTCCGGGCCGTTCCTCACTCCCACCCCTGTCTGGCGTGACCCCAGCCTCAGCCTCTTTCTAAGGGACTTCCTCAGCACATTTGTATTTTTATATCCGACTCTTTGTTTACTGGCTCTGCTCATGGTTCCTGCCCTCCCCTCAGTCTCGGCCACGCTCTTCTGCGCCTGGCAGATAGGATGGGTGTTGAGGCTGGGGTGAGACAAGCCCCCAACACGGTTACCAACTACATGGCCAGTCTGCCCAGGCGTGACCCCAGGAGGCTCTCTGGCAGACCCCTTCTCCCCAAGGTATCATCACCTTCCAAGGGCCCAGATACGATTTTACCTTGGACCCCTGTGTCTTGCCCCTGGGAACCCAAATGGGGACTGCTCTGCACCTTTGGATGACATCTGTGGCCCCAAAGATGTTCTTAACCCAGGGGTGCCCTTTGTAAATGTTCCTCCATCCTCACTGTACCAGGAGTGTGTGAATAAACACAGACCTCCCTGTGTGTGTGTGAGTGTGTGTGTGTGGCCGCTGCTTAGGTCTCAGGAGCCAGGCCAAAATGGGAGGGGGGCAGGTACTTGGGAATCTCAGATGCATGTTGCTGGTGAGGGATGGTTGCCAAGACAGGCAGGCCAGCTTGGCCTGGGAACGTCATTGTGATGTGGCCTCCTTAGGTGCAGATACAACCCAGGTGGGACTGGTCACCAGTGTTGAGGATGAAGCATAAAGCAATCTAGGTTCAAAGGCTGCAGTCTCCTGTGGACAAACCCAGGCTAGATGAGGATCAGCAACAGACCCCAGGATCTCCAGGCTGGCTGGTATGCAGAGGGGTTAGGCTGAGCTTTGCCCAGGGGATGCATCACTGGTGGTTTGGTGTGGTAGCAGAGGAGGTTGGGGAACCCAGGAGAAATTTGAGGAACACAAGAAAGAAGAAGGAAACCTGGGATCTCGGATCTAGTTGGAGCTGGGCTGTATTGGTTCATGTGGGTTCACTCCCACCCTCTCTCTTAGGCGTGAGGCCCCTGGGATGTAAGCACCTTGGACCCAACCCCAAGTCCTGAGTCAGGAATTCCAACTACCTGAGGAGCCCAGGGCAGAATGGTACAAGAGTGGAGAACTATGCTCCAGCCTCATAGCTGAATGGCACTAAGGAAGTCCTCATGATCTGAGTCCTGAAGGAAGCAGGGTGAGGTGGGAGGTCTGGGGGGCGAGAGGATTTGGGCCCCCAGGGCCAGCTGGGCCACACTGAGCTCCCCGCCCTTATGCATGAGGTAGAGATGGAAGTGGAAACCACTGCCGTAGGTAGCATGCCTCAGGGACCAGCCGTAACAGGCTTGGGCATAGTGTCTGGTCCGAAAGTGGGGGGCAGCAGAGGTCATTGAGATGAACCGGCCTCCAGGGACCAGCACGCGGCTCACCTGCAAGGCAGACAGAGAAGCCATCAGTGAGAAGTGGATCTTCGGGTTCTCAAAGGTCAGTACTGCTCCAGATGCCTTCCCAGCCCCACATCTGTAGCTCAGGCTTTCCATGGCAGAGTGAGCCGCTTTCTCTGCCCCTGGCCATTCCTTGGGATTAGGTCTATATTCTATTCAGAGAGGGGGTACAGGAGTGATATCAGGTGTAGGAGGCGTCACTTTCTTATAACTGCTCACCTTTGCAATCTCTGTCACCCATCTGGAACATGGCTGCTACCTCATCCCTATGGCAACCCAGTAGCCACACACCAGCCTTTGTGAGTCTAGCTATTCCATTCCCCTCTATAATCTTGATCCAGCTTAACCCTTCCCTTCCTTCAGAGAGCCACACTCCTGAAGGGGACCCACTACTTGCTCCAAAACATGCTTCTCGCTTCTGATTTCTTTCAGTCCCCTGAAACCTCGACCCCACAGCCCCACCTCTTGATCTGCCTTCCTCTCGTTGCTCCCTCACCTCACTCAACACCTGGTCCACAGTGCGGACACCTTCAGAGGACACGGTCCAGGGATCGCGTTCCCCAGCCAGCAGGGCATCCAGCGTGCCCTTCTCAAGCACCACATCAAAAGAAGCACTGGGGAAATCCAGCTGCCTCGCATCCATGGTCTCCCAGCGCAGCTGAGGCACGTGGGCATAGCGAGCCTGCATGGCAGCCACCACTACTGATGAGTAGTCCACACTGGTCACATCAGGGAAGCCTCCGAGGAACAGCTCGTAGCTCAGGGCACTGTTCCCGCAACCTGGGTGGGAGGGGATGGGTGGCAAAAGAGCTACGTTAGCTTTGGTTCTCACCTCCCCCGAATCTCCATCCACTCTTGGCCCCATTTCCTCTCAGTCCAAACCCTGTAGTACTGAGAGGAGGTGTCGGAGTGCAGAAAAAGCACAAGCCTTGGAAGTCTCACAGGCCCGGGTGCAAACCCTGGCTGTCACTCGCAGCTGTGTGGGCTGGGACAAGTTGTTTAAATACGAGAAACTTGGATTT